GAGGTATCCTCGTAATAACCTTATTAGTAAACATTTTTTCCTTCCAAGGATACATCATGGGAATGCCGAAATCCAAAATGTTTAGAACAGAATCAACAAACTTCTTTATGTGGAGTCCGGTCAAATCCTGGTGGCAGCCATGTTTGTTTTTATTATTAGAGGATACTTATGCACGTGATCATTCCATATTTGGGATTTGCATTTCCTAATTGGTAGGATGAAAATACCCTGTAAAATACCGCAAAATTACGGCACGCTGTAACTTATGGCGTTACAGTGACAGATGTACATATATAATAATACCAGATTCTGTCGTAAATTCGACCTGGGCCATTAAACAGCAGTTTGAGTTTTTTAAACAATAAAATGGGATTTTCTGCAGTTTTTAAAGTTGGTTTTTAAATATTTTGGCGTCATTTTTTGGACATTTCAATCTTTCCTAATGCCTAAAGAGTCTAATTCAAGTTATTATTCTAGAGTATGTTTATTGTGACTTGCGTGAATGGGTAAGCTTTGTTTCAACAATGAGTTGTTATCACTGTAACAATGTTAAATTATTCTTCTAATGCTCAGTTTTGTCTTTTGAAAACAACTATTTTTTTATTTGAAAAAAAAATCATGCCGTTTTCCCATCAAAATCCAAGCCAAAAGATCGTATTACAACATCGGCAAATCTCCTCTGCATTGCATTCAATAACATTAACATATTTAAATGAGCTATTGTAATTTGAACACATTGGCATCATCCAGCATTTTGATTGGTTAATTAGCAATATATGACCTATTAGGTCAACTCATGCAAGAGAAAGAACATGGTGGATACCCTACAGTATCGAGCGTTTATATGCGATCAGAATCATTTGCTTACGATGAAACTAAGTTGAATTTTATTTGCATTTCATATTCAATGAATTTATTTTTCGTACGTTATTATAATCACTAATGATTAATAATCAACAATTTTAAAACGCAGCATTATTGCATTGCGCAACTATGATCATTTGCTGCCTCTACACAATGCAGTTGTGTTCTTTTTTTTTGAAACTTCGTTTAGAGTATATTTTAATTACCAATAAAATTTAAAAAAAATGTATTTTGACGCACCAGGTTTATTAATGTGATTTTTTTTGGAGAAAAATGACGCTGGGTGACATTGCATTGTAATTTTAGGCAGTCTATTTTTTAATTCAGCAAGAAAAAATGGTATCAAATTTTGGATGAGTTTCTGCTATAGTTTCTTTCGTCTTGGGTGGTCCAACTGCCAGCGTTTAATGTCGGCGTAAGTGGATTTCTCAATGAAAATGGAATTCCACAAAAAATATTTGATGATCTTTTTTTGAAATTTTGAACCCCAAACAAGTGCCCACCAGTCGTGAAATCACGATTTTTTGGATGGGCGAATTTACGTATATGTTATTTGATGGGTGTAGGGTCTGAACAAATGTGTTTTTGAAACGGGTTACATAAATGGCTTGGAGCTGACAGTACATTGTCTTAATGGCTCAGTACATATAAAAGAACCACCAAACGATGTTTCATAGAACATCATTCCATTTCCGTTGAGGTTTCCAACAGTTGCTTATTCCTGTATTCTCTAGCGTTAATTTCTCACTTTTTCAGATACAAGATGATCAGAATATCCTGGTGACCAACTTTACTCAGTTGTTTGAGCATCCTCTCACAACCACAGTGTCAAAGCAGGGACTTGTAGTACTTCTAGAAGCCTTCAACAGTGAAGTCAAAAAAGTTAGAGAACACGTTAGGGTAAGTGGAAATAAACGATTGTTTTTCCCAATAGTGCATTAATTGATGTCTGGTGACATGTCTCTGATCGTTCAACTAGCGTGGATGTGCAATTATCATTTAGTTTTGTACATTCCAACTATTGGTATATCGAATACATACTTGTGAGACTTGTCACTCTTTTTCGCGCATTGCAACATGGGGAACGCCATCCTTTGAAGAGGTAATTTGTGCTGTGAATGGCGAAAACAGAATATGCTGATCAATATCTTACCTTTATTTTTGCAATCTTCCTCCTGCAAAACAAGAAGCACTTTGTATTTGATTATCTGTGAACTGTTTAATTTTCATTGGAATTCATAGAATTTTTGCCATTTACTAATTTTATGGCATTCAATTTTTACCCACTGAAATTTGAGAAAATTGTGTCTCTTGCAAAATTAAAGTGGTTTACAATTTTTACTTATGTTTGTGTTATTTTGTTGAATGTTTTGATGAAATATATACATATTAATTAAATGAACACACTTGTAATAGAGCAAATATGGTATATCTTTTGATTGTTGCCATGATCACTGAAGTCTAATCTTTTTTATCTTCAGGATCCTAGCATCCAGGCACATCCTAACAAAGTAATCCAGACAGTGAAAGCGATATGTGCGACGTTGGCGACAGTTGAACCAAATAACATTACTAGGGTATACGAAGAACTGAAATCAACCACATCCTTGCACATTGGTAGTACTCTTAATAATCTGACAGCTGCAGTTCAGAATTTGATGGATATGTATTGTAAGGCGTTTGATACTGGACACACTTTGCATACAAAAGTTGAGGATTTACTGAAATTACCGGTAACTGATATTCATGATGAGTTTCATATCAAAATCGCTAGTGTTCACAGGTTACCACTACGTTGGAAATCAAGGTAATCTTGTCATTCTAGTCTACTTACTTCACATTATTTAATGGTGATAAGTTATTCCATTTGTTGAGCCTCATGTTCTGAAAACTTGCATGCCCTGATTTGTTTTAGTTGTTTACACATATTCTCACTTTTTCTGTCTTTCAGCTTTGAGCATTTCACCTTATCCTGTGCTATATTTTATGGTGGTACACCTCTATACAGAACATTAACAACCAAGACATCAAAAATAACTACAAACTTTTTTGATAAGATTTCATTTGATCAGGTGTAAGTACTATTTATTTTGTCTTTTGAATCGTGGTGTCATGATCACAAAACAGTGTTACTGAATTTTGTTTGGTCTGAAAATTTTGGATTGTCGGTAATTCCGGAATAGTGGTGTGGGTTAAAGACACCCAATTGTTTATCAGCTCATTATCTTAATTACCCCTTCTAATGTTCTTATTGGAGTAAAAAATGCTGAGGAATTTATTTTTCAGAAAGGAGCAAAAAGTGGCTTTGGTGTTCAAGGAGTTAATAACACAATAGTTGAAATCTAAAAATGATATGCAATGCAGATTAAAATCAATTTCACAAGAATTTCTGTAACTCCAATTTCTTGAGTGAATTATGTTTTCTGATGTGTTTAATATTGCGCTATATGCTGTGAAAAACTCATCAGCCTGAAAATTTAGTTGTTGTTGTTTAACTGTGTATGCCACAGTCAGAAAACAAAACCTGAATAAGTGTTTATATTGAATATTGACTGCAGTCACCAACTGCCCTTTTCTATATATTATTTTGATATTACTTACATTTCGTTCCATAATATTGTGTCAGATTTATGTATTTATGTCTATTATTGGCAACCAGTTTTCATATTCAGTTTTCATGACAAAAGCGGTTGTCCGAAACAAATATATAGTTGCCAATTTTTATCTCTGTGTCATATATATATATATTAGTATTGAAGATTCCACACTGTAACGTCAATTTTTTTTCTGTAGATTAAATTTTTCCCTCCCTTTATGCAAGCTCCCAAGGGAGACTAGGATATGTTTTACTCTGTTTGGTACTAGTGTGAGTAATTCAGACAATAAACAACCAACAAGGAAAGCTCTTGGATGGGTAACAGTGCCGCTTTTTAATTTCAAAAGGTAAGGTTTTATTTCACATTGAATTAACGGTCTTGAAGGTCACACATCCTGGTACCTAAAGGTCACACATACTGGTACCTAAAGGTCACACATCCTGGTACCTAAAGGTCACATATCTTGGTGCTTTATGTGGGAACAAATTCACAATGAATGAGAAATAGTCAATAATTTTTCCCTCAAAATGTAATTTTTTTGTTCAAAGATGTTTTGTTCAACTCAGCGAAAATGTTTCAGGTGGTGTGACCTTTAGGCTGTTATGCATAAATTCTATTTGATGAGACATATTTCAGAACTTGCTTTCTCATTACTAACCTGTGTAATATGACTCACTGCTAGCCCATTTGGTCTAAAATATCCCCTGTCACAGTTTTACACTATTTATACATGAAACTTTATATTTTCTTCTTTTGAAAACAGTTGTTTTTTAATGTGTCAGTGAACATTGCTTAGTGATTGAAATATCACTGTTACTTATGATAAAATATTTAGTGGTAACAAATCTCATAAAATGAGTTAGAAGTTGGAATTTCTGGTTTCAATTAGTTTGAAATAGAATGTTTTTGAAATTATGTGTAGATTGCATTCCAGGCAAGACACGAGAGGCATATCCCGGTAAAGATGTTGCCGATTACACAATTTTAGAATCTGTTTATTTCTGTGTTGACATTTTATGGAGCATTATTTACTAAAAAAATTAGCTGAAATGATTTCATCAATTCATCAGTTGGTGCTGAGGATGGTCGTCTTATGACTAACTTTTTGTACCCAGGATTTCAAAAACCTTTGTTTTATTTTTAACTGTACATACTTATATAATGTGCCATGGTCTGAGTAAAAATGGCGAGCCAAATTATTTTTATTGTATTGGTACAATGTATATTGAAAGATTGCTGACATATAGCTTATTTCTTTTAACAGTGTAATGTTGGATGGTAGTCACTTATTTGGTCTGTGGCCAGATGATAAAGCCAGTCCTATAGGTACATGTGCTTCCAACATCTTGCAAGCCCACAGTGTTATAATTCAGGTACATATGTTTTTAAAGTCATTATTTATTTTTATTTGATAGATTGAATGTTGAGAGATTTGTTTTTCAGATAAGATTCAAAATGTCCGACTGGCGGTCATTTTGTTTTAATGAATGTGGTTCTCGTGCCATATCTCTGACTTGTTTTGACTTATTATGTTCAAATTTTAAATATTCATCATACATCATGTCATAGATAAACAGATATATTGGTTTGACGATCCTATTCAAAATGGCCAAATGGTGGCCATTTTTTTGCTAACAAATCATCAAATATCAAGCTTTTCTGGCATTTATGGATGGATTTCGTTCAAACTTGGTACATATATTAGACATTACAGGTTCCTGATGCACGTCATTTTATTTTTCAGATTGCATTCAAAATGGCTGACTGGCGGCCATTTTGTTTTAATGATTAGGCTTCTAGAGCCATATCTCTTAAATGCTTTGACTGATTATATATTCAAATTTTATATATTCGTTATACATCATGTTATATATATACTTGTATTCAAAATGGCTGATTTTGAATGCTGTTCCAGAGCAATATCTCTCAATATGGACAAGTACTTGTTTGACGATCAAATACAAATGTCAATCATATCAATGTTAAAAAATCATATTCCCGACGTGGTTATATTCCAGCTATATTACTATAAATAAAACTATACATCTTAAAGTTGATAACTAACTCGACTTTTTTTGTCTGTGCCTTCCAGGTTGATTTCCCCAAGTATGACGGCGATGTCATCTTCCCTCCAGTGGAGAAGACTCATTTACTGGTAAAAGACTATGAAGACCTAGATCAGGATGTGAAAACAAAGATTAGACAGATTCTTAAGAAGGATACACTTGCCAGGTAAATGTTGGATGATTTGTGTGATTGGGTGCTGATCAAATCAATTAACAATCATTGCGATTTCGTCATTTTCCATCCACCCTATTAGAAGCACATCTTCAATAGGAATGCATATTAACCAATAAAATCACATTGGTTGAGTGCTTTAGAACATTAAAGCTGCTGTGTAACTCCATAACCCTAGTAAAATGTTGACCATTACAAAATTCTGGAATTTTCCCTGTGTTTTTAATTTCAACTCATCTTTCAAAATTAAGCCATGTACAGTATTCACAACAAATATAAGAGTAAAAACGCTACCAATAAAATTATGTATATTATTTGTTGTGTATGTTTTATTCAGTGTTTTTGTATCATTATCTATACTGGTTTTTTTTTCATTCAGGCTAGTGGAACATGAGAATAAATTAATATGGAACAATAGACACTATTTACATGCCTTACCCAATGCCTTACCATGGTTGTTACGTGTTGTTGAAAGCTGGGATTGGTCAAGTTTAGGAGATCTCTATTCATTGTTACATCACTGGACGCCTTTAGAACCGGTTGATGCATTGCAATTACTACATCCACAGTAAGTATACGGATTTGATTCATTTGTATCTGTTCTTTCCATCACATGTACTAATAACAAGATTTTGGTTAAAGAATTACTTGTACATTTCTGGACTAACCAGTTGTGTAGTGGTTGTTGCATCAGACCCATAATCCATAGAATCCGAGTACCTGTGATTGAACACCATAAAATGATTATCAAATGGTCTGTGAGTTGGAAATCAAAGCCACTGGCCGAGATTTATTCACAGGTTCACAGGTGCCTGTTTGATGCAGGCCTTATTGACATCAGAAAAATACACTATATATCGGTATATGTATGAGTAACACTTGCCCTAACAGTCATTCAGAAAGTGACACCTCTGAATTGTCGTCACGAGTTGTGTGTTTTGATTCTAACCATGCCTTGATGTTTATAACCTTGGACAATTTATTTACAAAAACATATTTTACATCTATACATATTACTTATTGATAATTTTCACTTGGAATTTATTTTTTATTAGTATGAATGACAAAAAATAAATTACAGCTGGAATGAAGTAATGGGTAATCCACTACTTATACATTGCGTGTATTTTGTAGGTTTGCAGACTGTGAAGTACGTGTTATGGCTGTGTCCTATATTCAGTGTCTGTCTGATGATGAACTGTGCGACTACTTACCTCAGCTTGTACAGGTAAACAATCCATTTATTGGGGGTCTATGTATCATTAACTTAAAGTAGAAGCCTACTCATCATTTTTGAGAAAGTTGGTCATAAATCGCATGACAATGTCCATTGGTTTAATATGTAAATCTATTGTGGAGCTATTGGCCTATGGCACCATAAAATAGCATTCTTTTGTGTGTGACGTATTTTGAGAAACTTGTCCTAATATTTTTTCAAAAATAACAACAATGTTAAACAAAAATTGTATTTTTCGACACTTTTTAAAACAGTGACCCCCCAGCTTTTTTAGTCCCCGTTCGGACGAAGTCCGAAAACGGGGACTTATAATTCCATCCGTGCGTCCGTCCAGAGTCATATCTCAGAATCCCTTGGACCGATTCTGTTCATTCTTTGCATGTGTCTAGTACTTTATGTGGGACATATGCACATGCAGTGGTTTAGCAATTTGATTTTTTTTAAATGTCGTATTTTGGACATGCTTTGTCAGTTTTCATTCAAATTTAGTACATAGATCATACATGTTAGGATACATGTCTCCGACCGTCTGTCCGTCCGTGTGTCCGTCGGTCTGTGCGTCAGTCTGTCCAGAGTCATA